ACACGACGTGACAGCGCCAATGTAAATTTTCCTTGAATTTTCTGCAGCACAAGCAAACGCTCTGCATAACTTGCAGGGAAACTAACCTTCCTTCACATTCACTACTGTAACACGGCAGCAACAAACATGATCCACTGTTATCTGCTGAAACTTATCATTTTATTTTAATTATCAATCAGTAATTATACATAGATACATACGAATGTATGTGCGTATGTAGTGATGGCACGAACGCAGTCAATTGGAAATCTTTCATAATTAAAATATTTTTAGAGACTATCAGCAGTATCCAGTTATGTTTCGCTACACCAAAACAAATATTGAAAAAAGCTTAAAATCATAGAACCTTTTTATATTAGGACTTCAATCGATTGTTTTATTCCATAAACTTTGCTTATTCTTTAAGGGAAAGTATAAAATCTTTTGTCAAAAAAAACAATGCATTCTCGAATGGTTGAACACTTCAGGAATCCTCGAACGCCTTTTATGTGCCTCTTAATTCTCTTTATTCCGATGACCATTTAGTATTGCATTAGGCATCTAGTAGGTTTTTAAAAACAAAACGAAAGAAAGTGACAACGCGGCTCAATAATATATAATATGTATTTCATTTCATTTATAACATTTTCAAAGTAAAAATTTCAAAACAGGTGGCAGCAATTTTCGAATTCTCTTGCACAAACACACAAAATTTCATCTAAATCCGTTAATCCGATCGCCTTCTAGCAAGCAGTCAATGCACTCGTGTTTGGACTTCCATGCCAATGTTAACAGTCATGATTTTGAGATTGTAGATAACTTCGTCCATCTTGGAACCTGCATTGGCATACATAAATAATAAAGCCAGCCTCAATGCAGTATAAAAATATATTTGCAGCTGAGGGACTAGCTTGCGTACATAAACACAACAAGACGGAAGACGGACTTGGCAGAATAAACCCAGCTCGTTGTTTTAATTATATCGGTATAAATTTTGGTAGCTCTGTCTCTTCCTCTTCTGGTTCTTAATTACTTCGGACCAAAATTAAATTACAATTTGATATTCATGAATGGTATATAAATACACACACATAATAAACGTAAAAATGTTTAAAGGAATTTTCTCTTTTATTTCCAATTTGTAACCGCTGAAGCGATTTCCGCCGAGCTCTTCCTCTAATTTGTGAGTTTGCGTCTTGATGTTCAACAAATGGTGGGACATGCAGCTCATATTGTGCTGCTTCCCAACGCCTGAAGGGTTTTTATGAGGAGCTTTGATTTTTATATCAGAAATTTACTCGGAGTTGTCACTCCCTGCCGAGTAGTGACCGCAATTGGCAAACTTAACTGAATTTTTTATTTAAGTTAAATTTTTATAATTTTTAAATGTTTTGTGGACCAGGACTGCAACCCTGACCTTCCGAGTACGCAATGTCAAGCACTCGGTTATTTCGGAGTAATAATACATAATTTCGCAAAAACAATTGTTGAAGAGAGATTTAAAAAAATTAACTACAATGTCTCCTTATAAAAGTTATCAACGATTTGTGACTTGGCTATGGTTGATAAGAGAATGTCTAAGAAATAAAAATAATTTTATATTTTAAGATAAACAATCACGCTAACTAAAAAATTATTACTTTTTTTTATATTGTAATTTTTTCATTATTTATGTGGCACTTTGCATTTTGGAAAACAATTTTCTTGGTAACTCCACTTGGGATGAACCTCGCTGAGCATGAGCGTAAACAAATGAGCAAAACAAGCGTAAGTGCAAAAGTAAACTTGCCCAGGCGCTGATCTAACAAATAACTGCTAAAACGTCGGCCTCCGAGACACGCGCTTTAACATACTCGTACATAACTAAATAAGAAATGGTCATGAACTGTTTCTGCGCATACGAGCACAACACATGTACACATGTTGTATGTGTATGTGTGTATGTGCGTACAATTCGCATATTTATATGATAATAACTTTCTAAATGTTACAAAAACGGCCGTTACTGAAATCACGCGCTTCCAAGTCAACAACTTTGTTTTTCATCCCAAAAAGGGTGTGATTATGGCAGAAGGAGATAATAAACAGCAGACTGAAGTCAGATTTACAGTGTTTACATATATTTGTTCATAAATCTATCTATTTTCGGTGCATTGAAAAGTTGTTAATTAGTATTTAATTATCAAATTGTGTGCACTTAATTTTGTTTACAATTTATTGGCATACTCCCAACATTCGCACTTGCATAAGTATATATGTACACCATAAAAAGTGCTTTTGTAGTGTCACTAAATTATAGCCAAATCAACGGCAGAGCGTCAATCGGTATTTGTCGCCATTTGGAGACAACAAGTGAATTCTTTACCTGCTCCTTGGCCTAATAAACGGCCACGCGAAATTAGGGTTCACTGCCACTAACTAATGAATTAAAGCCGATTTACGTACCATAATATATTTTTTATATAATATCTCAGACCGATCTGGCTAAATCAACTGGTCCAGTCGTTTCACGAACTTTGAGATACATGCATTTAAATCTAATAACGGCAGCTGTAGCCGATTTGCTAGCAGTGCGTGGTACAATGAGAAACACCGTGGTTTCAAATCCTGGCCAGACCAACAAATATAAATATATATATTTTCTAATTCCGCTTACACTTCGGATGAGATGTCAACCGCTGCGAATGGGTTTCCGACATGAAACAGGCGTCAGGCCAGTCAGAGGTGTCTGAAAACTGTTGTGTACATACCACAAATTGGTGGAGGCGCTGGACCGAAGCGCCTGTTGCTTTATATATAATACTATCTCGGCGTATTTCACACATCCAACCGTCCGCTGCCCAAATGCGCTGTTCAATTTAACGATTTTAAAATATTTAGGCATCATTTAGTCAAAGCGGCATTTGGCAATGAGCAAAATAACTCAAAAAACCACAATCTAAGCAATTTTAACTGCAATAAATTACTGGCAAGTTGGCAAATAAGTTGGTCATAAGGTATGGCACACGCTCGAACGCACAAACACATACGCACGACGCACACATACATTTCGATTAGTCACAAATATATCTGGATGTATTTGTATGTATGTATGGTGTTAACCTTTCCTCAAAGTAACAAGTGAAACGCCAACAATCGAGCGGATAACCAGAGAAGCGTTTAGAAAATATAATAACAACAACTTAGATTTTTTTTATCCAGTAGCACCTTTAAGCCAAACACTCAACCACTAACACAAAACATCGATTATCGCACATAATTACCGCTAATTGTATTAATTAACAGATACGCCACTTGTCCGCGCTTGCGGATTTCAAGGCACAAACCGAGACTGCATTTTAAATAAAAATAAATTAAAAAATGAGGAATTTTTTAGTAAAGTCAGATTTTGCTGCTTCGATGTTTTCGACAACTCATAATATTTATAAATCAATTAGTAATTGCATGAAAAACATTATGAATTTCTAACTGAGTGTTTACTTTCGAATTTGCATAATTTTGAATGAGGAATAAATAAAATGAGTAATAGCCGAGGCAAAATCACACGAGGTAATGGTAGGACTACAAAAAAAAAACACCCATTATAAGCTATATCCGATCTACTGGTAGATTTAAATGGATTTCTTGTCTGAAACGCAATCGAAGGGCTGAAATTATCCTGCCGAGGGACGACCACGATTAGATTAATTAATTTAATTTGTATACCTTTCATGGCGACTGCGGTAGCCGGAACGACCAACATCCAAAAGATATAGAATCCCAATTTAAATGAGAAATTAAGTTAAATTTTCTAGTTGCGGTTGCCTCTCGGCAGGGAATGACTCTCCGAGCAAACTTCTGACATGAAAATCAAAGCTCATCATAAAAAATCATCAGCCGTTCGGAGGCGGCTTGATATAAACTGTAGGTCCCTCCAGTTGTTGAATAAACTTCAAGACACAATACCACAAATCGAAGAAGGACCTCGGCCGAAAATGGGTTCAGCGGTTACAAGGGGCCATTTATATATATATATATATATATACATACCTTTCATGAATATGAAGGAGAAGAGATGGTCCTATCAAAACTTATACGCGGCGATAGGATCAGAATTACGAGTCCGTTTGTTTTTACGCGAACGCGAATATCTATATATATTTATGCCAGCCAGATCGGACTACTATCTTACTACACCGATACTATCGATTTGTTCGGATACGTGATTTTGGCTCATGAATAGCTCCCATAAAGCCGATTTGTTCAGATATGAAATAAAACATCTTATTACTTTATTTAGCAATTAATCTATGCATGCATATGTATATATCCAGATCTAATTGCTTAACATTGTAAGGTCGCCTATTTAAGTGTGGTCTCTGAGAATAGTCGCTCAGGGTTGCCAGCCAATTAAAATCAGTCTGAAGTAGGTGAATTTTCGCTAATTTCGAGACAATACTTCAAAATTCAAAATCTGTTTTATTTATTTAACAATAAGAATTATTACCTAAAATTGAATGCCATAAATTTGATACGTTGGTGAAAGGTATACAGGAGACAGATCTTCTTTCATGTCATAAAAACTGAGTTCTTACGATATTGAAAATCACAAAATTTAATATTTAAAACTTTGAAAGGATTTATAAATATTAAAAAATAAATTAATGTACAGAATTTATAGAAAATATCTTAGTATTTAGAAGCATGGCGGCCACAGTAACCGAGAGGTTAGTAGTATGTCTACCAAGCAGAACGTCATGGATGGATCTTGGACAGATCCATATCAATACAGATTCAGCTTAGAATATACTGTAGGTCCAGAAATAAGTAATGTCTACAAAGACAAGATAATAGAAAATGCTATTTAACTAAATCTTGCTTCAAAGCCAGTTCTCTTCACACTGCTTTACTAATTAAAAAAGCTGTGTTGACTTCAAACGAAATATTTATAGAAAGAATGAATATTTACATATCTAAATATAATACATTTGAGTATTTTTATAATAAGTTTTTCCTTTCTCTCGCTCTCCTTTTACTTGCAGCTACATTAATCCAGCAAACACACCCAACACAAATGGCACCACTAGTCTAATCTACCCTTCTGCCAACGGACAGATGTATCGTGTGCATCCGGCGACAACCGTGACAAATGTAGCCACGACACAGGCGAACGGTACGAGCATTTCGGGCAGCAGCCACACCAGTCACTCCAGCCACAATAGCAACCACAGCAGCAGTAATAATGGTGGCCTAGACACTGTAGATGGTCATCACAGCGAAAGCGGCGGTGGAGCCACTAGAGAGCACAACTCATCAAGTGGATTTTCACAAAGATTACGAGAGTTTGCTGCATCGGCAGGACTGTTAACGTTGAAACCACGTCAACCACTAAAACCGGTTATAAAGACACGCGGCTCACCGGGACCGGAGTTTCCGAAAAAAGTCACTTTCAGTGCTTTCGCCACCGTACAGGTGGTGTAGGAACGCAAGCGGTGGCTATGTATGTAGCTAGAAAAAGGGTGTGACCAAAAGGTTGGTTGTGGAAATTTATTAGTCCAATCTGAAAACTTTTTAATAATTCCATTAATGGATTCATCTTTCTCGTTTCTTCAATTTTTTTTTCAGACTTTAAACTCTGATGATGGCGATTTGCTTTGTTACATTATTGTTGTTATTTTGAATTAAACATATGTATATATGTGTGTATTCTTTGTTTATTATAGTTAAATATACATACATACACACATACAAAGATATTGTAATTGAGAAAAATCGTTAGTTAAATTACCGTACGTATTCACAAGCGCACGTAGTATATGTACGTGTATGTAGTATATGTAAACCATTTAGTAAACGCATATGTACGTGTACATGCATAGTATATCTGAGTTGTTTTTGTTATTGTTATTTATTTAAATGCGGCCAAAAGATGTGTTAATTTGCTAAAATATTGTGCCTATGCGTACATATGTACTACACAAGCATATACATATACGTATACATACGTATGTCTATATCAATAGAAAAAAATACAAAACACAATGTATGTATGCATGTATGTACAATATGTAGCTGATAAGTTAACGGTATGACCTTGAATGCCGTCAGCAGTTGAGCAACTTGCATAAATATAAAATATGAACTGCTTTTCGCGTTGAAATGTGCCATTTATTTGGCAAAAACTCAAATGTTATTATTGATTTGTACATAAAATTGACACGGGTATGCATACAAGTGGATGTGTGTACCAAGTATTTGTATTTACAAAATAAGTATTTTGAGAAAATGGAATGTATGTATATAGTATGTACATATGTGTATAAACGAAATGCTTTCACAAATTTTTTTTAGATTAAATTAAGCATTTAAAAAGTCATTCCAGCAGTTTCCTTAATACTACATATTTAATACATATTAAAATTGTTTTTGTTTCAAAATGATTTTTAAATTGTTTACCTATTTTTTTGAAAAAGTGAAATTCGTGGCAAAAAAAGAAAAAAGTTTCGATACTAAATGTCATTTTAAATGTCTTTAATTTAATAAAAATGAGTAAATTAATGTGCTGAGTTTAAAACGGTGAATTTCTAACTTACTTTACACTCAAATTAAAAATAATTTTAAATATATATATTTAATGTAGTAACAAGATATTAAAAAAATGATTGAATTTTCATTTACAACTCTGATGAATATGCTCGTGCATCCTCGTAGAGATCTATATACAAAAGTACTTATGTACGTACGAGTATCTTTGCTGTTATTTCCCGAAATTTTTTTTTTCTACCAAAACTTTAAACACATGCGAGGGGATTAACAAAAGTTCGATCAGTTGGTGACTCGCCAACACCATCTAGATGTAAAAGAAAATATTTCATTGCATTAGTTTGTTTCTAATAAATTAATGACATATGATATCAAGAAAAAAATGAAATATTTATATTTCACACCAAATCAAAAAACGTTTGAACTCCGAAATTTCCTAAATGTTCAGAAGAGACAAAGACAGTTGACGCGAGTAACATGAAAACAGTCATAACGGTTTTTTTTCGATTGAGTAACACTTTGATTTTAACCTTTTCTTGCAGCCGTACGAAATATTCTTTGAACTGGTTTATGGAAAAGCGAATGATTTTGAAAAGTTTCGGTAAAGACAAGTACGAGTACATATGTACATAAATATTAAATATATATCAAAAATCCAAAGGTTAATAAAATTTTAATTTTATACATCAACGATTAACTGAAAATCCTCTTATATTTTAATATTGGAAAATTATATAAACAAGAATATATAGAGTATGTACATATGTATGTACATATTGTAATAAATAAATAACCAATCATATGAATAGCTATACATTTATGTAAAAATAGAAACAGCAACAGCAACAAAAAAACAAATCTAAATTGTTTAATTGAATATTTATGTAAAATGTTTGCCACTGTTCAAAAAAGTTGTGGAAAATAAAGCTTAATTAATTAAATACTATTTTGTTTTATTTGGAATTCTGTATTTGTGAGTGTGTAAGTAGCTGCTTTAACAGTTTGTTTGCTTCAACTTCAAATTTTTAGCACAACATTGGAAACAAGTGAAAACTTATAAGCTTTGAGCATATATGAGAGAGGAGTCTAAGTATGCTGCTAAAGCCTGCATTACACATCTGCATATATGTTAATGGGGCTTTATAACCGCTAAAGTGATTTTCGGCAGAGATGTTTTTCCAACGAATTGAGGGACCTAAATTCACGAGATCTCGAGCTCTGATCTTCCAAATGGCAATTAGTTTAATCAACAAAAGAAAAAAAAGATTGGAACGCCTCTGCGTATGAGTTACTTTTATGGGTTATAGAAAAAAAGCATTAGCTTAGTGGAACTAAGCGAACCAACATTGAATTCGCAACCAAAAGAGACGACTAAACAGCATAGCAAAATATTCCTTATTAGTCATTCGTTAAATTCAGCATTAGCTATTTTTATAGTAGTGCCAAATGTTAATACAAAGTTGTGTGTGTTGAATATGCACTTATGTACATAGATATGTTTGTGTTATACTTTTTTGTATATTTACTTAAATTTACATTTATGTATATAAGTCTACTTATATTTACATATCTATGCAAGTTTAGGTATGGATGTACATAGCACAATAGAATCGTATTATAATTTCATCCTAAGAGCACATTCAAAAGATTTGTAAAGGTTGCCATGTAAAATTTTATTTAAAAATAGCTTTTAACAGCTAATTTATAACACAAACACAAATAAATAAATATTATTAAAAAAGTAAGTACAATAAAACAAAACTGTAGAACGGTTATAGTAAGGCAATGGAGTTGTAAAAGTGAAAATGATACATAACTAAATAATTATGCATATAGACATTCAGTCGATTTGGCACTATTTATATATCAATTTTTTGCGCCATTCAACTACGATTTTTATCCCTCTATTTCCTCAATCCGCGCCGCCTCTTCAAAAACATTAGGCACTTCAGCATTCTCCGACTTTTCAATAATATTATACCGCTCAGCCGCGGTAAGGCACTGTTGGGCTATTTCGCGCGCTTTGCTGCGCGTATCATCTGGGAGCTGTGACAGGCCGCTAAGCAATTCCATAATATCTGTTTCAAATAATTTCTGCGCAATGTCCTCGCCAGCATTGATCATATTCAATATGACCACCACGCCGCGATGTTGCACTTCAGGACTTGGATTAGCGATTAGTGTATGCAATACTTGTAACCACGTACTGACTTCCAATATTTTTGCACAACAAATTTTCGAAACAGACGTTAACATAGCCAAGGCTCCAGCGGAAGCTTTGGCGGTATCTTCGTCTTCCTCTTCACAAAGTAACGCCAAAAACTTTACACGATCGTTAGGCTTTTCGAACATCTTTACAACTTCATCCGACATAACGAGATTACAAATGCATTGCGCAGCTGCACGTGTTAAATATAGGTGGTCCTCCATTAAGTAAATTTCGACTTTGGACATACCCTGTTCTTTTACGATACGCTGTCGCACGCTTTCGTTCATTGCCGCTAGGTTTGTTAGCGCCATAAGTGCCTCGAAGTTTTCTAATGCTGTGCAATCTTGAGCTAACAAATTCAAGAGCGGCCGTATAACGTCTAAACTACGTTGACCAACGAAGGCTACCTCAGGATTGATTGTTATGCCGATACGCGCTAATGCCTGTGAGGCATGTCGTTTTCCTTTCTCCGTTCCCTCTAATGCCAAACGCAGCAATGCTTTAACGCCACCATCTTGCACGACTTTGCCACGCAACTCTTGCAAACTGCATACAGCGTTAAGTACACGCGCTATAAGCTCCTGCGAGTTATGGCTCTCAGTTTTTGCGAGTGCACACAAGGCTCCAGTAATGCCTTCATTAGCAAGTATGGTAATCCGTTTATTTATGAAATCAGAGTCGTCTAATTCGTGTTCCTCTGGTATGTGATGCTTGGCAAATTTGGCTAGTTCGATCATTTCCGGTACAATTTCCTGTTTTTCATAGGCATTGACTAGATTTACAAATGTCGTAACCACTCCATAGAGACACGATTGGTCGCCGGAGCGTGCCAAATCTATGAGAGCATGAATGGCCGCTTTGTCCTCAATTAGCTTTTCTTTTACTTCGGCATCAAGTGTAAGATAAGCCAGACCATCAGCTGCCCAGCGACGAATATCACGGTCCTTACCAGGTTTAATCAAAAAACGACGACAAGCTTCAGCAAGTTTGCTGGTGGCACCATCAGCAAAAGGTCGTATCGCCGCGTCCTGACCGCCATAACTACCTAACTTGCATAAGCCAACCAATGCGCGTACACGTATATTGTCGTTCTTGCATTTGTAAAGGTTTTTCAATATATCGACGCCTTGAGCACATAATGCCTTAGCTTTATCTTTCTTAGAAGCGGCGGCAACGATACATTCACAGGCAACGCGTTGTTGCAATTCATCATCTGTCGTGGCCATAGCCAAAATCATTTGTAAAATTCCATCCCGCGCAATAATCTGATTACCTACATCGAGTGGCCCAGACAATAGAGATGTAATTGCTACTGTTACGCGAACTTTAGACTCCATATCGGGATCCAAAAGCTTATCTTTAATATACTCATCTATTTGTTCACCAAAACGCTTTCTTGCCTCATCATAATACATGTTCTCATAGATACGTGCCAAACACACCGAAGCAATAGTACGCGATGATGATGTTATATCCATTGCACTCTCATACTTGTACTCCTCCAACTCGGAGCACACTTCTAATAGACGTTGCAAACCGCGTATTTCAACCAACCTTTCTGCCCACTCTAAAGCTGTATAATGAACGTTACGTGTAAGCAACTCCATAATAGCATCACGAGCTGAGCCCGAAATTGTCCGATCGGTAATTGTATAAACGAGACAAGTGAGTAAGGTATCAATTTCTTTTTGATTTTGCTGACAAAGCTCTTTCTTGGGTTTACTTTCCGGCTTGTTCTCCATGCCAGACAATGAGTTAATAATGGTTTGCAAACAATATTGAGCTGTTGTGACACGTTCTTCGTGTTTATGATCGAGCACATGTAAAAACCATGGTACGCCCAATTCCCGTAAAACAACTTTTGTGCGGTCGACGGACCCTTCACACAGAGCACCAACAAGGCGTATCATATTGCAATAAATTTCTGGATCCTTTTCTATTTTAGTAACTGATGCAATCTTTAAAATGCCTCCAGCCTTAAAAATCATATCTGCGCCAACTTCTTCCTTGGCTAAAACTAATAGGTTGTTGGCACCAGATCGTCGTTTATCCACAGGATTTCCCATATCGAATGCAAGCTCCATCATTTGGTTTACCTAAAATAAATATTTCATTAAATTCGTGAATTAAATTAATTATTTGAATATGTAGTACCTTTGTTGAAGTCTTTGCATTCTGTGCAACGCGTTCCTGCACTATCTGATGCAAGCGCTGAAGCATGGGTTGCACCGATTTGTTGGTAGGGTCTTCTTTGAACAAATCTGTGGCATCTTTATACGCCTCTTCGAATTTTTTCAAAGCCTCATAGGCTTGGGCTCGGCGGAATAGTGCCTTCGGATCCTTTGGCGCAATACGTAAGGATTCAGTGCAGTCCTCTAAAGCAGCTTCATATTTTTCAAGTTTTAAATATGCAGCTGCACGATTTTTATAAAATACAGGCAACTCCTTATGTTTTTCACCAACTGATATAGCTTTAGAATACCATTTAACAGCCTCCTCCCAATTCTCAGCTTTAAATGCTGCATTGCCATCATTTTTGTAGGTGACGGCCTCTTCTTCGTTTTCAATATTTGTTTTTGATTTATTCGTCATATCGCAATTCTTTTGCTTTTATCTGCGTTCAAAAGTAATTTATTCTATATAAAATATTTATGTTTTTTAGATTCAATGTTGTGTCACATCGGCACTTAAAATTTCTTTTAAACATGCAGCTGCTAGAAGCGAGTTTCTTTTATAAGATCCAACGGCCAATGAACGAACTGATTTTCCCACTGACGAACTTTCTCGATAGTTTTTGACGTACTCGCTTAAAATTAAATGGTTTCCCGAATAATCAAGAAAACTCGGAAAACTTTGTGTGAAATATGCGATTGCTCTTTTTTACAAAACTCACGAAATTCTATTTATACATTTTTTCGAAATTTTCCTTCACTTTTTTATACCTATCTTTTGACATTTCATTATTCATATCAGAGAACTCAGAATAAGTTCTCTGTTCATATCACTCTTTTACAGAGAACGTAGCCAGTATTGCCATTCGAATCTAAACAGATACCTTTTTGACGAAATTTCGATGATTATTAAATAAAAGTTCCAAGATTCGGTATTCAACTTCTTTGCTCTATACACCCACACAATTTACTAACTATACAACCCCCCTGCGGATTAGGGGCTCAAGAATTTACCCGCGGTAAGGTATGCCTGTCGTAATAGTTCCCGCGACAATCGGGTCTTTATACTGGAACGACCCGGATTTTTATCCAACCATGGACTGTCACTCCCGCAACATTCCCCAAAAAGTACTTTGGGGAAGAATTTTGCGGTTACAACAACAACAACACTAACTATACAATAATTTACTAAATCCTAGAGTTATAAGCGAATAATCAGTTGCTATAATAATAAGAAAGCACACACTACTGGCATGCCCAGTTTAGTTTACCACCTACACGACTCTATATAAACAAACAACAGTTATATTTCATATAAATAAATAATTAGACAAACAGTATATTTTCTTGGAAACACACAGTAGACTCCGCTTCAGTTGACACCAATGCTGTCACTACCGAGTTCCAAACTCAGCCGTAAAGATTATTGAGTTTTCGGCCGCTTTTATATACCTATCATTTTCTCGCACGCATATATTAAGGGTTTTTCTTCTCGCCGAAGAATGCCATACATGCGCTCTTAAATGTGCTTTAGTTAACGGTCTCTCTTTCTCACCTCGCTTTCGTACTTGGCATTTTCGCCACAATTTCTAATTGTGAATGACGGCTTGAAGCTGAAGCAGCAGTGGGTTTACCGAATCAGATTTGGCAAAGTACATTTTGCAAAATTATTAAGTAATTTTATTAATTAAGTAAAAAGTCCAAAACTTAAAAAAATGTCTTTACGTTTAACTCAGCGGTTAATACAGAGCCAAGTGCCTTTTTTGACCCGTGTAAGTATTAAATAATATTATAAATGGTAGTTAAATCATAAACTTCACGATTTGAAATTACATAAGAAAAAGTCAGCGGAAAAATAATAACAAATTATTTCTTATCTCAGGGATATCCTTTACTGGTAACAAAAGAAAAGGGCGAAGACGTAGCTCACACTAAGTCGGCTCTTCAAAAAAAATGGACGGTAAGTATTAAAAAATGGACCTGTTATCATTAGTAACCTTGAGGTAAATGTAAACAGAAGTGAGGTTAATTACTGTTTATCCTAATGTGTAGGGTGTTGATATACCTTCGGCTCAATATGGTGGTCGTCACGCAGTCACAATGTTGCCTGGCGGTGGTATTGGTCCAGAACTTATGCATTACGTTCGCGAAATCTTTCGCTTTGTTGGTGCTCCTGTTGATTTCGAAACTATAGAAATCGACCCATCAACTGAGGGCAATGACGATTTGGATTATGCCATAACTTCCATTAAGCGTAACGGTGTAGCTATTAAGGGTAATATTGAGACCAAGTCGCAGGGATTGGATGAAGTCTCACGAAATGTAGCTATTCGTAATGAACTTGACTTATTTGTAAATGTTGTACATTGCCGCTCATATCCCGGTATTCCCTCACGTCACAAGAACATTGATGTGGTTTTAATTCGACAAAACACAGACGGCGAATATGCCATGTTGGAGCATGAATCTGTACGCGGTGTAGTTGAAAGCATGAAAGTGGTGACAGTTGAGAACGCTGAGCGTGTGGCACGGTATGCGTTCGAATATGCTCGTCAGAACAACCGCAAAAAGGTTACCACAATACATAAAGCCAATATTATGAAACTGTCTGATGGTCTGTTCCTGGATGTTGCCAAGGCTGTGCATAAAGAATACCCTGAAATTGAGCATAATAATATGATTATTGATAATACATGCATGCAATTGGTTTCCAACCCACACCAGGTAAATACATGAACACATATAAATAAAAGATTCAGTAGCAACACTCTCTATTTTAAGTTTGACGTTATGAACATGACTAATCTATATGGCACCATCGTTTCCAATGTCATTTGCGGTTTGATCGGTGGCGCTGGTCTTCTTTCTGGTGCCAATTATGGCGATCACGTAAATCTAAAATTATTATTAATAACATATGTACGGTAGTAAATTACATAAAAAATTATATAATTTTCTAGTTCGCCATCTTTGAACCCGGAACTCGTAACACTGGTACAGCTATTGCCGGAAAAAATATTGCCAATCCAGTGGCAATGATCAGTGCAAGCACAGATATGTTGAATCATTTAGGTCACAAGGATCATGCACGTGCAATTAATGAGGCCATCTATGAAACAGTGGTTAATGATGGGATTCGAACACCAGGTTCAGAAAATACCTTTGCTTACCGAAGTTATTGTAATTTTTTTCTATTCTAGATGTGGGTGGGTCTGCTTCCAGCACAGACGTAGTGGAAAATATTCTTAAGATCTTATCAAAGAAACGTGTGAATTGGTAAAGCAAATGCATACTTGAAAAATCATAACTTTTCAATGGACTGTAACTATGTACATTCGTACAATCCGTCTGTAGAAGTTTTCTCTCTTATGCTATGTCTTTGTACTTAAATATGTATATACACAGTTTAATCTTTCAATGATTGCAAATTTTAATATTTATACAAATATTGAAGATTGTTCCATTATAAAATTTTTAGTTACACATTGAATGGTTAAACTATTTGTTAAACATCACGTATGCTAATCTTATAGTATATTTATTACCTGCATATGAATGTATTTCGTTATTACTACTTATAAGCATTCGTATTGTTGAATTGTAACCACATATTGCCTTGTTTATGCTTATTTATTTCTGTATTTATCTGTTATGTATAACCCAAGCTTTCCCAAATTCTTACAGTAACTTGCTACTAATACTATACTCCGCTTGTACTTTCTAGTGTACATTTTCTTTTCTATATTTGTCCAACTATCCTTTCTTTTCTTAGCTTTTTATTTGGTGTAGTATCTTCTTTTAATTATATATACGACTTGTCTCTTGTATTTAGCCTTGATGGAAACTTTAATGTACACAAAACTTATACATATTCTTTTCCCCAAAACTATTTCCACAAGTAACACAGGTGCGTGTCAAATTGTAGCATGTTCAGCACCTTTTTTACCATACACACATACACAACAATTAAACTTGTAGCACTGTTATCTTTCATCTATACAACACTTGGTTTCGGCTGCCTTCATAGCCTCTCCAGCTAACGTTTGTAGCCTTTGTATTTATATATAGTTTCAAGCATTGTCTACGTAATGCTATTCTTCTGTTAAATTGATTCGATCATTTTTCAAAATTTTATTGTTTATTGTATATTCTCAAAAATTTTTCAACCACCAAAAACAATTCAAATCTACTTTCACGCTGCCCGCCCGCACATTGTGTCCTATATCCGTTTAACTGTCAACCAATAACAAAAAAAAAAAATGGTTATGCGGGATCCTACATAATGCACTGCTACACACCACAGGCCCCAAGGACAATACCGCGATTAAGTAAAGAAAATTCAAATTAGTTTAAGTTAGTTCATACTGCAAAAAAAACTACCAATTGCGGCCTGTTGACACTTTTTGTCTGCAGTTTATATGTACTACGTATTATGTATATTTATGTTTAAAGACTTTAAGCTGCAATTATTGAAATTTATTAGAAGATAAAAGATATTCGCCAGCATTCAACCCAATGCGACTAAGCTAATTGGTATTTAATCCAAAATTTGGTGTAAAAAAAAAAAACATAAATCAAAATTCAAATCAGACGCCTACGCCCAGCTGTAATAATTGCAATGTTTTGTTAAGTCTGCCCGCTTCGATCTTTAAACCTTAGCCCGATTGTATGCTACTAATGGTAAACCGTGTCACCATCGCCTATGTTATTCCCTGTGTTACGTGTCAGGGATTAATACTCACGAACAGGTAATTCCTACTTAGGATATAAGTGTTATATTTTGGCATCTTTAGTTAATCCCTAAAACTAATTTTTGTTACGTTACAGATTAATGGAAACAGCTTGGAGGGAATTTGACGCGAAAATCTTCACACAATAGAGGAAGCATTGAACTTGTATAATATATATAATGTAAAGTTGTTTGTCATCTCTTAATTTTAAAATTGTAGTAGAATTTTCAATTTCGCTGATTGTGATTAAATGCGAATGATACTATTCCCAATATTCTTACGAATACATTGAAACAAATTTTACTATAAAAACTATTGTTTGAAAAAAGTCTATATTGACCAAAGGCATGTAAAAATCTCATAATAATGTGTTAAAGATTCTTCGCATCAATAAAGTTTGTAAACCAAAAGGAAAGTAAAAAAATTTAATACTCGAATAAGATTTGCACTGGCAAATGTTACAATTACTCGTATCATTAGAGACTATTCTTGCACGCGATTGCCACTAATGGGGAAACCAATAACTCTTTTCTCACATGTTGAACTTCCAGATAGTTGTTACGTTGATAGAGAATAAACTTCTTATTCCTCCATAGAGGGTAGATTGAATTTTCATTATTATTACATCTTAACAATATAATTATATCGAATTGAAAGAAAATATTTTCTGGCCTAAAAGAATTTCCTCGTCCTTGCATTTTTTAAATTTATTTTTAACTTTTTTATGTTCGAAGTCATCTTCGGCCCTACTACTCTACCTGACTCAAACAAATAATGTGTATTCGTGATTTGTTTATCCAATTAAGGTATAGTTTTCGATATCCTTCGCTTGAAAAAATAACTACTTTCGAGCAATTTTAGTTTTAAGAAACACTTTATTTAGGCTGTCGACGATTTTATTTCAACATTCTATCTTTTGTATCACTTCCATCTTTTCGGCTTCTATCCACACAATTAAAACATATAAAATTATGTTTTTAAATGTACAAAAATTAAAGGGACTTAAATAGTTATAAGTAATCCAGTAATAAAGCTTAGAAACGCAGCTTTTGGAAGAACCATTTGTTCTTGCCCTCTTTGTAGGTGGATTCAAACTTAACACGCGTTTGGAAGCGATGTGTCTTCTTCTTAACGGGGTCTTTAAGATCCTTTGGCGACAATTTCTCAAAGGAGATATCGTGCACGGCATAACGGGTGGGCATCAAATGGTTGTAGTTCAATACTTTCAAGAAAGGCTTAATCTTAGACTTCTTCTTCAACTTGTTCTTGCCCATCTTCTTGGTCACTTTGAGTGGATACCGATCGATGCCAGCGACGAGCGCATGTCCGAATGGTTTTTCCGGTGTACCATCATCAGATGTTTTCACAATGATGGCCTTGCGACCGGCGTAACGTCCACTAAGGACTATTACGATTTTACCTTGTTTCATAATTTTCCTCATCTTGGTGGCTGTTGCAAATATTCAATCAAGATTGTTTTTGACAACATCGTTGGTATTTGTCATTTGATGCATACGCGAAGAACATGGAAATTAGAAAAAAAAAGATTCGATTAGTGGAAATTAATCAAGCACTGTTGTTTCAAACATATGCACATCTATCAAGTGAAATATTGAAATCGCGCAAATAAATGCAATTCCGATGAACAATACAATTTCCGTATAATGAAAATTATGTAGCACTTTAGAGTTATTCATGGCAATTTAATCAGACTTTAAAACACTTTTATACACTTTAGTTTAAATGAAAGTGCAGCGATAGATACACTGTTACATTCTTTGTACTTTAATCTATCACTTAGTTCAGAAAAATTTTTGCGATTTATTAATATTTCACAAGAATTTTTGGATCTAAATAGTTTTTAACATAAAATACACTTACAGGTCTTATGGCTGACCGGATATAGAGAAAGAGAAACGGGTTGACATTTCCCACATTACTTTGACGTTTCGTATACGTCAGTATATTCAGCGAGTTGTCAGCGCCTTTCAGCATTGCCAGCAGGTAATATTATATTAATTTGTGGGAGATAATTACATTACATTACGCCATGAAAAAGTACTAACAAACATTCACGTTGGAAATAAATATTGCTATGATTTTCACTAATTACATCTTGATAATTTCTCATATCTTTCAACTTCTTTCAGTTTCTTTATAATGAACACATAATTTATTCTCCTGTTTATACAATGCTCCAGTGCTAAGCGGAGTTTTAGACGGTTTAAAATATGACCAAGTGGCTTATGAACACCCGCTAACCCCACGTCTCCACAAGGAATAAGTGATCGCCTACCAACTGTCATTTTGACAGATAATTGGAAGTAATTTGATTGCCAGGTTTCTTATGCAGGCACTTGCTTGATTGCTGAACATAATCATTTGTTAAATGGCGCCAGTATTAAAGCTAGTAAACATTTATAAATGCTTAAATAATACTTTTAAGTCATTCAATTACACTAAAATATACCAGCAAGCTTTTCCGCAAATGATATTTTTTTGCGGTAAAAGTGAAAATGTGAAAGTGGATTGCAAGCAATAGATGTCAAGCATTTACCATATATTCTCCAAACAACTGAATAGTGTGGACGTGGCATAAGCTTTACAATATTGAAATCTGACAGCACTCAAAGCTTCCGTTTTTTAATTAAACTGGTTTCCGATTTTGTAAGATTGAAATTATAATGTCTAGTACTTGTGACGAAAATTATGGGAAATATTAAGCGCAAAAATAATAACAAAAACTAAACAGCACGGTGAGTAAGCGATATAGGGCATAAGAAATTAATTAATGTTAAGTTGAAGAACACTACTTTTAAGGAATGTGCACAATCAAGGGCAAAGCTTCTTTGGTTGCGTTGGTTCGTTTTGTCTACAAAATAAGTCGTGGCCTTAATTTGAGATTTTTCGCTGTAAGTGTTCAGAGAAGGCTGAGAAATTGCTTGCTTGAGCAAATCCCGCCACTGGCATGCGTTGATGAATTGTGGTATACAGCGTATTTTGGGGTTTGCGGCTGTTGCGCTGCGTGCTTGACTGTGGTGGCGGCAAAAACCGCATACAAGAATGCAAATGTATAGAGAATTGTATAAATGAGCAACCAACAGCGGCAATGGCAAAGCGTGGCAATTGGGTGCATTGATGTGCTTAATGGTGTATAAACAAATAAAATAGCGGAAACGGATATGCCTGCGCTACATTTGTTATTTTAACTTATACAACGACTTATTTGTTGACAATACAACCAATTAAAATGCGGTAAATATTATTGCAAATTTAACTGCAAACCTCTAACAAAATAAATTCGTTTTTCTTTTGAGCTTATATTGCATAATATGCCAATCAAAATCAGTTTGAATCAAAGATGCAGACATTAAATTTCATGTTAAAAATATCCAATCGTTTCACGTTGAACGCGTATCACAATGAAGCCGATGTTATTCATTTCGGTATAGACACCAGTCTCAAAAATGGATGAAAAAATTGCACATCATATTCAAGACTATAAACGCATTCCGCATTTGTAATCGAGGGTAGTAAAACTTCATCTAAAATGAGGCGAAAAACGACTAGCCAGAAATGCCCATATGCACTTTAAGTTGAAAACAGTAGCCGTGCACTTCGCTACATAAGTGCATATAATAAAAACGACTGCAAAAGCGGCAAGATGCATATCTTCCAGAGATTCTCAACTAATGAAACGATGCCATTTACAAAATCACCATCAAACATTAAACTTAGATCGAAAAATTCATTAACTGAGAAATTGCCTATTATCAAGAAGAGAATAAGTCCACTTGTGTACGTTTGTGCACCTTGAAAAGCTGCTATTAAAACATCCATAAGACCTTCCCACAACAGCAAAGCATCGGAAGTACAAATATTGTTTAACTAAATAAATATAGTAAAGTAAGCCATTGCCCTCAAACATTTCCCAGCTCCTATGACTATGGAAAAAATTAAAGTCTAGTAATGGAACTACAAAACTTATATGTACAATACATATGTAAATCGTATATATATTCTTAAACAACTAAGTAGAAAAGTTAAGTAAACGGCGTGGAAGGGTGTACAGACAGAGGGTATTCAGTGCAAAAGTACGCTCTGCAAAGAGCACTTGACGCGGCAATGCATGCATAGCAAGAAGAGGCATGGCAAATTTGTATGAATTGCTTTTGTTTAAGTTTTTAGGCTGTAGAACATAAAATGTCTGCACGTCTTTTTCGGCAGTAATAATTCCCCTGCAATCCTCTGCTCGTGTGCGCCAAGACTTTGCTGTTAGACAACTTGGACTGCTGCCCAGTATTTCTAACTACATACGTACATACCCATTTGATCATTTTACCGTTTTAACCTCTTTGCCACTTAGCTAAGTGCTGCAGTGTTAATAGTGTTGCTGCATTAAGTTCACGTTTGGCTGCCAACTTTGTTACTGTTGCTCTTCTTCAACAAATGCACGCATTTGTGTGCAGAGAAAAACTGCTACATAAATAATCGTACAGATGTGGTGCTTGCAGCACTACCCGTTCTAGCCAGCGCCAGTGTTCAAGTAGTTGTTAGTGTTTTGAAGTGCTAACATCACTTCCGGTCTGCAGTTGATTTGCATTTAGTGTTGTTGCCGGAATAACTACTCCAACTTGTCGACTTGTTTCCTTTCGTCCTTCCGTATTCTGTTGCCCAACTGTTGATTGTTTTTTGGTTGACTTTTCTTCTTGGCTGACGTTATAAAAGCGCAAATTTCGTGCTTGATGCTTTGCCACTTTGTGGCTCATTTATATTTCAACTCTACATCGTCATAATGTTCAGCTTCACATCTTCCCCACAAATATTGTACATACAAATATGCATAAATATGTGTTTTGGGTTGCTTTTTTTTAGAGTACCATTCTATTGTATTGTATTGTACTATTTGCTGTTTTTCCAGTATACGGCCTTAAGTGTGAACACACAGTATATTATATAATTCGCGCTTTGTAACCGCTAAAGCGATCTTTCGGCCAAGCTCCTCCTCCAATTTGTGGTCTTTCGCCTCATGTTTTTCCAAAAAATGGAGGGACCTACAATTTATATGAAGCCACCTCCGAAGGGTTGATAGTTTTTATGGGGAGCCTTTTTTCATGTCAGAAATTCACTTATCTAATTTCAAATACGATTTGTGAAGTATGGATATTATATTCTTCACCAAAAGCACACGGATATCGTTTGTCTTTTTTTAATTTTGCTCAAATGGGGAAACATTTTCTGGAAACGGTTGTGATAGCCGTGTGGTTAGGAGTGCGTACTATCATTCGGAAGACCAGGGTTCATAACCCGGTGGCAGCAACATCCAAAAGTTATGGAGAATTAATTTAAATAAAAAATTAAATTCAACTAATTACAGTCGCCCCTAGGCAGGGGATGTCAGCACTCCGAGAGTATTTTTGACATGAAGTAAAAGCTCCTCAGCTATCAGAGGCGGCTTAGAAACTCAACCAAACGTTATGAATATTTGCCTTATAGAAACCAAACTGCTGACACAGGCCAACAAACAGTTCGTTATATTATCATTACATCTAACCTTCACCCGACGAAATTCTCCGCGTTTTATGGTTGAAAGATTTGTCGTAAACTGGAATAAAAACTGATGCGTACAAATGATTTTTTCTTTTTTATGTGAGTGAATCAAGCATGTCTTTAAAATATATTGGGCTGTTATATAAGCCTCTTTCCATTTGACTTAGTTTCCCTGAACAATTCTTTCATTTTTTGCAAACCGTGAGCCAATAGAATTGCAAATAATCTACTGCATTGGTTTTTAAATACGTATGAGGATCGAATGAAACCGTTACCCTTTCGCTGAAAATAAGTGACGCAAACGCGTTGATCAAAGAGTTTAGTTCGCTTACGCATACATATATATATATATGTGTTTGTGTGTGTGTAGATATTCGCTTTACTTATTTCATTTTACCTTTATTCTTTTTATTTGCAAACTTCCAACTTTTTTTGCGCTCCGCTGACTTACGCATGCATGTATGTATGTATGTATGTATGTATATGCGTTCATGCGTCTTTAGTGTTTGGTTCACTAAAAGCGTTATTGCGTTCTTCCGGCAGTTTACGTTTGATGATTTCACTTTATTGAATTTCTGTGTTGCCAGAGGAAATTTGCAGAAGTCACAAGTGTTTGAATTAAACGATGAATATTTATTACATATACAGGCTTACATACGTATGAAGAAACAAATTTACATATGTGGAAATTCTGAGCTTCACAGGTCGCAGACTTTTTAATGTCTTTGATGTGAAGATTAACGTTTTTGCATTTTTTCGAAATGCTCAAGAGATATATTCGACATACGAGTATTTACATATATCAGAAGCACACTACCAAGGATTGGCAGTAGACAATTCAAGCATGTAGACAGTACCCGGTCCAAGTAGCCCAAGCCATTCGGATAAGTTCGAACACAGTTGTGAATAGGGAAATCTGTTAACTCTTGCACTGGGGACTTATCGGAGTACCGATGCGACCAAACAGGCAGCTGTACTTTTTTAACCGTACTTGTTCGATAACGATAATATATTCTACATTTATTCCTAAGAACTTATTTTCTATAAAGTCAAACTTGGTCACTGGAACATTTCATTAGACAAAATAGATTATCTCTAACTAATTTATCTAAATCGATTGGAAAACAATTTATTTTATAATTTAATAGTTCGGTTCCTGGTAATCTCCCAAATATTTTTTTCACCCTAGGAATGAATGGATTGAAACTTTCTGACAAACTTTGGGCGCCATCTGCCGGGTACTACCGGAGATCTTAGGAGATAAACATAAAAATTTAGATTTTCGAAACTATTTTGTGCCTATTTCATCGGCGTCACCCGTGATGAGATAAAACAGTCCCTGGTCTAAGATGTTTAGATTCCTTTCTTATTTTACTGCAATTTCCTTATTGAAAGAGGTCGTAGGCATAATTCTGAGCTGGTGTAACTTCCGGGTGGTGAGCAGATCAGAATATTTCCTAAAATGACTGTTGTAATGGCCACCGGAGCAAACTAATGGTGGTGCTGCATTGGTATTCAACTGAAACTAACTTTTCTGGAAATGAAGGCGACTTTTGGTCGAAAAGAAGTCCAGCTCAACTACGCTGCAGACTATCCCGAGAGCTGATGTCAGGCGCTTGAATGTTATAAATGATAACTCCAACGGGAAGTATGCGTAGGAGTCCAAGAACAATTTACGAGCATTCATCCACATGCAAAGTTGGAGAATATGAATAAAAGTTTTATAACTTTTGTTTCGGAGAAAAAAGACATTCAATGACAGTTATACATACATACTCGTATGCATAAAGATCTGTGAAATAATCTAATTACTTTCTTTATGGTTGGAAATTCGAAACATTTATACAATCGCTTGTACCGGTCTTTTATGTATGTATGTTTGTATGTGTGTTTTTACACCTGAACTTGTACGTTCGGAATTCATAGACCACAGCACAGCTAGTGATCGCTTTATGAACTTGTAACTTATATGTATCGATGTGTGTATGAAGTTCGGCCAGAAGTTGCTTTGCACCTTAATTCTACACGTCAGATAACATCCGACTATACTGCTATTTCTCCATGAATGTGCTTATATTTATGTACAAAGGTAACTCAATTGAGCCACACAAACGTATATGTGTGTGTTAGATATATACATATGAATATGGCAAATCCATTGTTTAGAGATGCCATAATCTGTCATTCCCCATTTATGTAATGTTTTGAAATTCTTATTTTCCCCTTTTCCATTTCCCCTCTCATAAATTGAAAGTTTTTGTCGCTTATGCATCAGTCTAATTGCAAAAGTGTTGAACTATTGTGCATTAGAGCTAAAGTCTCTTGGCCTCATTGCGCAACCAGCCATTCTAACCATTCTCACCAGCATATTTTTTATCCTGCGGCTCGGTGCCCCATTTAAGTAAGAATATTTTTGATGTATGTTGCTGAGTGGCAGTGGACAATTACTAAATCGTGCTCCCCATCAAGACGATGTACGGCAAGTTCGGTGGGCTGAGCACATGGCGAATGAAAATTTATGCAGAGCGTTTTGTATGGATTTCCGATGTACAGTTTGAAAAAGGAATTAACTCAGTTCCCTCGGATGTTCATAGCCGGACAAACATACGTACATACATATGTCCATAGGTACACTACAATTCGGATACGGACAGAGAAAATGCAGTAGAATAGTGAAGTTGGTATGCTTCGGAAATGTTATTGGAAAGTCCTAACAGGCTACGTAAGGCAAAACTCAAACACCAGAGGGCCAAAATTATTCGCCTATTCAATAAGCTAGAAGTCAGTCGATCAGAAGTATGGAGATTTTTAGTAAACAATTTATTCAATATTAAAATTAATTGAATTGACATTTGCTTTTGCTTGAAAAACTAACGGTGTTAACTTTAATCTATTTTCTCACTACGTTTTTAGCGAGTTCTGCACTGAAAATATAATGAATTTGCAGAAGATTACGGTGTTCTAGTTTACTAATCTTTTCGAAATAACAGCAAAGATCTTCGATAATGTACAAATTAATGAATTTATATTTATAAATTCTTCTTCTTTTTGTTAATTGCTGTAGGCAAGACTAACGTAATTACAACCGGATCAACAATAGTGTGTCAGCCGTCTCTATTTTTCGCTCCTCTGTTCTCTCTAACGGAGCAAGCTCAAAAAGGCCAATGACATCAAAATCATGGGAGTACATCCGTAGTGGTACACTCTTGTAAAAAATTGGATTACTTTCTCTAGTATTATGTTGATGAAGTCATATGATGGAGAGTTCCATATCTGGCATCCCGTTGGTATTTAACGCCTCGTAGAGGTCCTTCCCAATTCTGGCTGCACTTCTGGTATGGTTAAACTTCAGTTTACACAGCTGTGTAAGTTTTTCAGCGACTCCGAGTCCAGATATACTGGCGTAGAGTCAGCTT